TTAGAAAATTATTATCGTGTATTTTTTTATTTTTTGGGCGGACTTTTAGCTATTGTTATTACATTTGGAGTGTTTTATTATCCTCCTTTTGCAAATTATGTGCTTGTATTTTGCTCAGAAACAAGCGGCGGATCTCCCTCGCCATTCGTGCCTCGTTGTTTCACCATTGACCAGCTGTTTTCAGTTGGACAGCCATCTAACTTGCCGCCTACTACAGTTTGACAGCAGAAAACTGCTGATTTCCGCTTCTGGTTCGCTGTCCAGCTGCGATTCAAGCCAGATTTCAGCCGCCGTCATTCCTCCCTCTTCCTTTACCCCTCATATAAGTTACCTGACCCTTTATTATGTTCCTCGCACCTTCTTGAAGCTTTAGAATTGTCACATATGATATCAGAGCCCAACAAATCCTAAAATTTTAGGGATTTGGCTTCCTTGCCCCCAAATCAAAATTACTAAGAGCCTAAAGTAATACCCCTAGCATACCCTAATCAATACTACCTCAATTCCCAACACTAATCCTAAATTTTTAAATTCAACATTCCTATCTCCAAAATAAATCCACCCCAAAAACTAGTATCAAAACATATACACCCGGACAATCTTTGATTAGAAATCATGCATCCGCTGAAACCCTCACCAAAAGAAAATGGCACCATGCGGCCAAAGCAAAACCCTCAACAAGAAGTTCAGAAGATGACAATAGAGGATATGCAATGACAAATCCTCCAATTGCAACAAAGTCTCGCGGCCATTGAGAGGAGACAACTCGTAGTGGTCATCCATAGTCACAACAATAACTCGTCAGATCAAGAGAAGAAAGTAAATCCCTTCCACCAAAAAATTTTCAGTGGCAAATAACCAATACCCTCACGATATGGAATTTCAACGAAGTCAAAATTTTAAAGAGAAGATTGACTTACCATATTTTGACAGTCGTTTGGAACCAGACGAGTTGATTGTATGAGTACAAATAGTGGAACAGGTTTTTGCATGCAAAAACGTTCCACCTTGCAAAAGGGCAGTAAGCCGTCATTAAGTTAAGAAAGAGTGCATCTTTATGGTTGAAAATTTTGAAGCGTCTCTGCCAACATGAGGAAAAAAATAAAATCATGACCAAGTCCAAGATGAAAAGGGAGATGCAGAGCAAATATCCTTAAAAAAATTATAAACATAATATGTTCTTGAGATTTCACCACTATAGCAAGATCTCTAAATAGAGGAGTTAGGCTTTGTTGATGTGTAAATTAATGGAGCCCGAGAAGAATATCGTAACGTTATATTTAGAAGGATTGAGATCATCTATTAACAATGTGATACATTCTATTGGACATTACAGAATATCCAGATCCTATCCTTGAAGGTGGAGCGACAACACAGTAATAACAGGTCTACACCACCCTTTAAACAAAGTTCAACCATCAAATCGAGCAGCAAGAAAACAATCAGTGGATCGTCCCCACTCGAAAAGAGACCAATATAGTGGAGAAAAGATGTAGCCCATAAACACTCCCAAATTTACCCCAGCCAGAAAGTATTTCAAGTGCCATGACTTTGAGAAAGTTGTATCTGATTGTTAAAACAGGTGGATAATATCTTTCACCGAGCAAAAAGCAATGAAAATATATATACAATCATACAGGAGACACTTAAAAAAGGTGAGAAAGCAAATCAGGAATATCGAATTCCAGTTAAATAGAAAGAGATAATGATAATCCAACGAGTTCTTCAGATTGAGGCTATAAAAGAGCAATAGTGGCTCCACCATAACATCTTTCATATATGTTGCACTGTAGGGGCAACCTAAATATAGATGGAGGCAATTCTGAAAATTTGATATCTACTCAAATGATCGACAAGTTGAACTTGGCCAAACAGAAACACACACAATCTTATTCTCCTTCTACCTTGAAGAAAGATAATACAATCATAATTGATAGAAGGTGTCTCATAGAGTTTTTTATGAGAGACAAACTGTGTGATGAAAATTAAGTGATGTCGTGCCTATAGATTCATATTTTATTTTTTGGGTTGATCATGAAAGAATGACAAGAGGTACACTTTATAATGATTGCAAAAACACCTACTCATTTATTAAGGATGGCAAAAAGTATTATTTTGTCGTTGAAGGAGTGGACAGTGATGGGTATTCAAACCAAAACATGAATATTGGTGCCATATGCCACATTTCTATAAATTATGCGAGAGACTCTAGTGAAATTGAACTTGGTGATGCAAGAAAGCAACGTCATGGAAGAGCAAATATCAGAGTCAGTTCAACCCTTATTAATGGAGCTTCAGGATTCTCTAACATTCATTTTTTGCACCTACGTCGCCACTATTGAAAGCGATTCAATAGATCAATAATTCAAATGGAGATGTGAAATTTTGGAGCTATTTCAAAAAGATTATATATAGTAAGCTAGGTATTAAGTTCTAGTTTGGTTCAACAACACACTCACAACAAGATAACCAGACAAAAGTGGTGAATTGTAGCTTTGGAAATCTACTTACATCAAGCAGTTGGATCCGAGCGTTTATAGAGAAGAAAAAGAAGTCTCTCCTATATAGGAAGAGTGACGTGAGACGCAATCCCTCCTACTAATGCTGAACTTCATCGTTTCTACAATTTTGCATGATGTTGTTTCACCAAGTATGCATTCTTGCTTTTAATTTTAGCAAAATTTCTAACCTTTATTTTCTTTTCCTATTTCCCTATTTTAATTAGTTTATTTTCTATAAGAAAACTATGTGTGTTTTTTGTTGTTTGGAAGGGCTATTAGCAATTGTTGTTATGTTTGGAGACTTGTTCTTTATTTTCTGCTCCTTGGAGTTATATCCTCTTACTTTTGGAAGTGGTGTGTCTGTATCTTGTTCAGGAGCACGTGGTGGATCCCCCTCGCGATGCGCATCTTACTGTTCTATCATTGACCCACTGTTTAATTTGCTGCATATTGTTGTTTTACAGCTGTTTGACAGCAGAAAACTGTTGTTTTCCGCTTCCAGTTTGTTGTCCCGTTGTTCATGCCGGTTTTCAGCCGCCAACATTCACCCCACTTTCCGTGACCCTCTTACAGCTTACCTATGGCTTTATTGTGTTTCTCACACTTCTAGGAGCCCTAGAACGGTCTATGTTAATGAACTAAGCTCATCAAGCAAATAAGACGGATTAGAAGTTCCTTTATTTTTCAGCCTATATGGTAGAATGTTCCATTTCCGAACTTTCTTTTTAATTTACAGATTACCTAATAATTTTTAACTTGACATAATAATTTAATCATTGCAAATAACATTTTTCATTCATTAGCATATTTGACCTGCCAAAAAGTACTACATTCATTAACCAATTAGAAATTTTACTTTTCGAGGTAAACTTATAAGCATCATTGTTAAATACATTGAACCATAAAAAAAAGATTCTCTCTCCCACCATAATTATTCTTCAAATAAATGGGTTCATCGTTATAATTGAAAAATACTTCAAGCTCACTTGCATGAACTCGCTTAGTTTATAATGTGATAATTTGTGTTTGAAAGACATAAATATCATCACACAGATGATTTTTTAATTCAATAATTTAACCAATAAATTTGCAAAGTTGTTAAATTTCATTTCTAACATGATCCTTACATGATCAGTGAAATAACCCTATAATTAGCCTCGTTTCTAAATGAAATTTTGATACAACTAAGGCATTGATAATAATACTTCGATTCAAGATGAATTGGTACTAGGATTTCCCCTTATGACTAGTATGAAGTATGCTATATTTTCATGCAAAGAATATAGATGATTCATATATCAGTTAATTCAATGGTATCTTTTAAATATAAAGAAGCCTTTCTTAAAATTTAGAACTAATCGCCGTAGAGAAACGGTTAAAAATATGTATACTATAGTTCTTATGTTTGAACGGAAAAAGGAATGACCAAGTATTTTCCTATTTCAACTGGATTACATCAGGGGTCAGCTTTAAGCCCATATCTTTTTCTTTAATTATGGATGCTCTTATTGGACATTTAGAGGAGGATATTCCTTGGTGTATGATTTTCGTTAATGATGCCCTTCTTGTGGATAAGAGTGTAGAAAGAGGTCATGAAAAACTTGAATTATGGAGGCCTACATTAGAGTCTGAAGGTCTTCGTTAGAGTAAATGTAAAACAGAAAACATGAAATGTAATTTTAGTAGTAGTAGATCTAGTAACAAAGTTGTAATAATGGGTTATCAATTTATTAAAAGGAGTGAACATTTTAGATATCTCGGGTATATTGTTCAAAGTGATAGTGATATAGATGTGGATGTTATTAGTAGAATTCAAGTTGGATGGTTGTGATATAGAAATACATCGGGCCTATCATGTGATAGAAAAGTATCGCTTAAAGGGATAAAGACTAGTTCTTGGTGTTGTCATTGTTGTTGTTGTCACCAGAGAAAAAACTAAATAATTTAGAATTTAAGGGAAAAATTAGAAACATAAAAAATAGCTACCACAAGTTTCATTTTTTATATGTCAGTTATTGATCACAATCAAGAATATTAAACGAGTAAATATAAAAAACTAACCATAAGATGGTGCTGATCAACCTGCAATATTCCAACATAATTCCAAAAGCCACAATATAGATCTTGTTACTGCATTTCCATGTCACGATGTGGCATGCTTGCAATCTATTCATGAATTATTTAATGAATATTTGCACTTTCAAACCTTTTCTCCAACAACCTCATTATCCATCCAATCTTTTCCTTCTTGCTAGACATTTAAATAAAGGGGGATTTTGTTCTTGAAGTTCTACTACATAAACGAAACTTTTAAAAGATATTGTTTATTGTCACGCTTTATATATATATATATATATATATATATATATATAGAAATTTGAATGTGATGTAGATGAGACCAGTAGACACTACCGATACCAAATTTTGTGATTCCATACCAACAAACTCAGCAAGTTTTACAACATGCTCGGTTGCAGAATTCTCATGCTAGACAAGTACCTTTCCTGTCCTCCTCAATTTCTCCATGGGACTTGACAACAGAATTCAAAAGTTTTTGGAACTTCTGTTTTTTCTTCATATAAGAAATCTTGAATCCAGACAGCTAACTTTCTAATTTGCTTCTACTATCTCATTAATTAACGGAATTTTACCTGCAATATATAAAAGTTGAAAACATATGAATTTAATTGTGGACTAATATGGCTAGAAGAATAAATATGTTCTCAAATTGAAATTTTTTCAGTTATAGAATACAAGTAATTCAAGATGTATAAAAGTATACAAATATTTTAATTTGAAATTACTATTGAAAATGCCATTTACAAGAAAGATAAATGCCCATTGAAGCCAATCAGAATATAAAAAAGGCAGACTTCATCCAGCAGTAGTTAAAATCTCTCTAGAAGTTAATTAACTAGTACAATGCATGCTGCTTGTGCGCTAGTGTTGAGATGCCTTTGGCATCGCTAGTCAATTCAGTCACAACTAGACCACATTAACTTAATGGGAAACTGTCCTTAATGCTGCACGTGTTAGTATGCCAAATGTATCATACATAGCGAAGGCTTAAACACCACTGCCAATCATATGCCCTTAGGAGAACAATAGTGCAGGAAGTAACAGGACTTCCTAGGACTACTCCGTCACAATCTTTAATTCTTGTTGGTACTGATTATTTCTTCAAGATGACATACTATTACATGCAACAAAACTGTTTACACATTGAACACATTGTATTATAACGGCTATCCCTACCCCATTATTACTTATTATTTGATCTTATTTCCTAAAATGTGTATTTCCTCTTTTGTTTTATTCTGTTTTAATTTCTTTCGTACTTATTTTATTTTATTTTTTATTACTTTCCATTATACTATAATTGGGTGTAAATACCCATTCTCCTATCAATGAAATTATGCTGGTCTACTCCAAATCTCAACATGGTATCAGAATGTAAACCTAGAACCAGCAGCCCCGAATCCTCTGCCGGTTCCAGCAGCTGCTGCCTCCACCTCCCGTTAGTCGGAGGCCTTCCTTGCCAAATCCAGCGAACTGCAGGAATTCCATAAGGATTTCTCCTGGCTCTGTCCGCAGGTTTCTCCCTATTATGTCCTAGAAGATCAGCGCCTGTCCACAAGATTCTGTTGCTCTTCCTCCAGGGAGCAGAAGATCAGCCGCTCTTCATCCAGGGTCCAGTGAACAATACATCTGCCACTAGATTTCTCCTGTTGTTGTCCGCCAGAGGACTTCTTCTTCCAAGGTCCAGTGAACTGAAGATCTTGCCCCTGTTTTGCTGAAAGTATCCCTGGAGTTGTCCTACCTGCAATTTCTACTGTTGTTCCTGTTTGTCGTGATTCTACCAAAATTCAACAATGGCTCAAAACCGCAAAAACATATATTTTGGCTCAGTCGAAATTATAATTGATTCTTTCAATAAATCACCCTCAAATGGCGTTTTTTACTCCACCGGAGGATCGATTCCAACCCCCGCTCCCTTGCAGACCGGAAAATCAAAAGCAAACATGAATTTCTAGATCACAACAGTTGAATGTCAGAAATTTCCTCAAATGCTCCCAAGCGGTGTCTTTATTCATCAAAGGACGTGGAAAGTTCGGTCATCTCATAGGTATGATTTGTGATCCTCCAACGGTCACCTCATAGCTTGGGAAGTGGAGAACTCCATGGTCATGCCATGGTTGATCATCTCCATGGAGACTTCAACCTGTTGCTCGTACATGATGTTCCTCCCTTCTGCTAGTACTCTCTGGACGGTTGTCTGTGATACCTACTCAGATGTAGAAAATTCTGACAAACTCTATGATGTATCTAAGAAGACCTGGGAGTCAAATTAAGGGTCAAGGACAGTGACACAGTATTATAATGATCTAGTTTCTTTATGAATGAAATGCAACCTGTACAACGAGTCTCTGGCCGACTTATCCCACTTGTAGAAGATCATGGAAAAGGATCGTATATTCCAATTTCTTGCCCGTCTTAATAAGGACCTTGACGAAGTTCAGAGCCGTATTCTTGGCTAGGTTTCACATCCTTCTGCTCGAGCTCCTTTTACCGAGATTCGTCGGGAAGAAAGTAGGAGACTTGTTATGCTCGACACTTCCACGCCTTCAGCTGAGTCATCCACCTTGATCTCAAATAGTGCTCAACCCTCGCGCACCGGTCATCCTACTTGTGTTTACTGTCACAAACCCAACCACGATCGGGTAACTGTTGAAAACTTCACGGTAAGTCGACATACAAACATTTAAGCAAATCCTCTGTTGTTAAGGTACTCACGGCGACGGCCGAACAAGGCATGGCTTAACTGATTCATACCCAAAACATCCTAGATTTCTCTAAATCCCTAAAACACAAGATAGAACAATTGATCAGGTTTCTTGGAGTCAATCAAGTCTCTGCGGGTCCATCGACCTACCATGTCCGACAAGGTACTCTTACTATGGCTCTCATAGTTTATTCCTACTCTAATTCATGGGTTATTTATTTAGGTGTTATGGATCACATGACTGGCTAATCGTAAGCTTTCTTGACTTACTACTCGTGATCTGGAAAAAATTTCATCATAATTATCGATGGATCTTGTACCTCCATTACTGGTAAAGGATCGATTATGCCAACGACCGATCTAATTCTAGAGTCTATTTTACATGTTCCCCAATTACAATGTAACTTTTTATCAGTCAGCATGTTGACAAGTGATATCAATTGTGTGGCTAATTTCTCTTTTGATGGTTGAGTTTTTCAGGATCATCAATCGGGGAGGATAATTTAAACTGCTAAGAGGATAGTCAGAGTCTATTACTTCTAACAGAACAACACGGAGAGTGAAGACACGGCACTCAAAATTAGTAACCTATCTCGAGTTATTGAAAGTCTTGTTATGTTATTACATTATCGTTCAGATCATCATAGTTTTTAATATTTAAAAAAATTGTAGTCTCTCATATTTCTAATAAAAATCTTTCTAATTTTAATTGTGAGAGATGTTAATTAGCCAAACATCATTGGGTCTTATACCCACCTCACACTTACACACATTTCGCTCATTTTTCCCTCATCACAGGGGAATATGGGGACCTTCTCGCACTTCCAGCTATACCAATAAACGGTGTTGCTTGACCTTAATTAATAACCACACTCGAATGACGTGGGCCTACATTGCAAATAACAAATAGGAAGTTAATGTGACCTTTCAAAACTTCTATACATTTGTCTCACTCAATTCCAAACTCCTAATCAGGTCCTTCAGACTAACAATGGTCGTGAGTTTTTCAACTCTATCCTGAATGAATTTTTGGTAAGTAAAGACATCCTCCACCAAAGTTCTTGCACAGACACTCCTCAACAAAATGGGGCAGCCGAGAAAAAAAATTCATCACATCCTTAACGTTGCTCTCTCCAATATGTTTCAATCTAATGTACCGAAATATTTTTGAAACGATGTCATTTTAACTGTCATCTATCTCATAAATAGTGTCTCCTCAAAAAATTCATAAGTTTTGAATTCCCTTAGCCGTCGTGAAGCCATGCTTCCCTGCTAATTGAGTCTTCTCCGCTTTAGATCCCAAAATTTTTGGATGCACTGCCTTTGTTCGGAACACCGTTTCTACTCAGAGCAAACTTGATCCCAGATCCATAAGATGTACTTCCTTGGTCACTCCGCAACTCAAAAGGGGAATCGATGTCTTGATCCAACCAAAATTAAATTTGTGATTGCTAATGTCTCCTTTGTTGAAAATATTCCCAGTTTTTCTAACTCGACCTCTAGTGAGGGGAAGCTTGAGTTCCGCGACATTGTCCCTTATCTTACTCCCTATGGATAGTCCCCTCATATTTCCCACCACTAGGAAGTCCTCTGTCCCGTTGAGCGCACCATCTCCTCCTCCCTCTATTCGTGTCTACACTCGGCACGCCCATCCTAATGCTCTTAGGAGCCTACTACCTACTTACAAAACCTTAACTCCACTCTGGGCGACATCCTTAGCACAACCACTCCTCCAAATGAGGCGAGTTCTCCAAGTTATGCAATCAAACATGCTCCCTCCATTTTATGACAAAATGTGTCTTTCCACAGTTTCTCGCCGACCTACAAAGCATTTGGTATTGCCCTAACGGACTTTCAGATCCCTGCTACTATTGAGGTTTTTCTTGCAGATCCAACCGTGAAAACGGCAGTAATGGAGAAGAAAAATGTCCTTCAGTGGAACCATATGTGGGACATCGTAACCTTCTTCGAGGTAAGAAAGTTGTAGGGTGCCGATGAACTTTTAGCACCAAGTTCAACTTTGATCGGTCCTTTGAACGCAACAAGACAAGATTGATCGCTAAAGAATACTCACAGACTTATGGAATTGACAATGATGAGACATTTGCTCCAATGGCTAAATTAAACACTATTTGTGTCCTGTTGTCGCTTTCAACTAATATGGATTGAACTTTATTCAAACTAGATATTAAGAATGCATTTCTGAATGTGAGTTGACAGAAGAGGTGTACATGTCTCTCCCTCTAAGTTTTGATTCTACTGCCTCCAAGGACAAGTGTATAGAATACAAAAGTCCCTTTATGGGCTAAAGCAGTCCCCAAAACCAGGTTCAGCAAGTTCACAAAGGTAGTCATAGGCCCTTGTTTTACTCAGGCTCAGTCGGATCACACCCTCTTGTTCTGACACTCCTCCAATGGCCAGATAGCTATCCTTATTATCTATGTTGACGATATTATTCTTACAGATAATGATCTCCATGTATTGGAGTCCCTAAAAGAAGTTCTTGTTTCGTCCTTCGAGATGAAGGATTTGGGATCTCTTTGGTACTTCATTGGCATGGAAGTGGCTCGGCCCTCTAGGGGAATTTGTCTGTCTTAGTGCAAATATGTGATTGATCTCCTGATAGAGAACAGTCTTCTACTGTGGAATCGTATTATTGTTCCTATAGATCTTAATGAAAAAATTGTTTGACATTCCCAACGCTATACATATCAACAAAACTCATTATCAGCGCCTTGTGTGAAAACTAACATATCTGGCTCATACTCTCCCCGACATATGCCACATAGTTGAAATAGTAAGTCAATTCATGCATGACCCCAACGAGCACCACCTCCAAGTTGTCCACTAAATTCTCCACTACTTGAA